AATGCAGAAGGAAACTGCTTAATATAATTTCAAAATCCAGAAGAGAGGCACGAAAAAGCTCAAAAGGCATAACAAAATTGGAAACTAAAACGTTCTTGATAACACATCTATAAAACCAATGGCTGCAAAGCAAATCAACGAGGTAAATAGTGTTCAATCTAAACACTGGAAAGGCAGAACATAGAGAATTTTTCTGATCTGATAATATTTCGCAAAATTTCAAAAATTGTTTTGCTTCTCCCCTGATAGTGATGCAAACAGATTTGTGATTAGGCCAAATCCATTCCAAAACTTGAAAAAACACTCTGTAAGAGAAAAGTTCTATTTCAAAATAATATTCCAAAGCCCCTTTATAATTCTAAATGGGTCTGTTTATCGCTCTACAATAAAATTAATAAAAACAACGAGTTAAATCTAAAATAAAAGGTACTAATTGATGAAAAAAATTAATGGCAAAATTAATGTTAACTAAAATAGACTAATTATCTAACATCTCATGCTAAATCAGATATCTTCACCTTAGACATCATCATCTGGTCATATTTAGTCAAAATAAGATGATAGCGCAACATAGGAATATGGGCAGTATAAGATTTTCCCCCACAAGCTTTTATCCATATCCTGATATTGATTTCCACCAAAATTTAAAACAAAGGCATAACCAAAATATGGATCCCTTGTGTTAGGAATCATGGATCTCCACAATTGTATGATATTGTCCACTTTGAGCATAAGCTCTCATGGATTTGCTTTGAGCTCCCTAAAAGACCTCAAACCAATGGGGATAGTATTTCTTGATTATAAACTCATGATCATTCCCTATGGGAATTAGGCGAGGATGGACTTCCATCCAACACCTTGTAGACATCACAACTTCACAGAGTTTTCACTTCATTAACGACATGCACGGGGTGATTAATAGCAACTCAAAAAGGGGAAATACACTAATATAACTTATAACTGCAAGCCTTGACAGAAATTTCAATGTAACAAAATTTAAGTACAGTAACAAAAACAGTGATCAAATCATTGTAGATCCACGGCCACTCGATCACTCAAATTTTATAATAAATTACAGAAAACAACATTTCGTTTAGTTGAAAAAATCACAGAAGAATTCAAGTCGGATCGCCGATGAAACTGCATGCAAATCAAAACTTCAAATCTAAAAACATAGCTTCAAAGCTTCCACACACGTTTAATTTCAGAAATACACGCAAGAAACTTAGAGTGCAGTAATTTTCAAAAGAGGCAAACTAGAAATGCAATCGAACATTCTCAAGAACTAAACAGATCATCAAACCATGAAAGAGAACAGAGTCTGTAAAATTTCAGAGGACTCGCCATTTTGAGAGGAGAAAGAACGAAGCTCCGATGAAGAAGATGAAGAAGAACGCGGTTCAGAAATGAGTGAAAATCTAGAGAGGCTTTTATAGTGAATTTTTTTTTCCGGGTACTGCTCCGGAGCACCGCTTTCGTGGGGGTGATTTACATGTGAGAGTTGCCGATGAGATGCTGACTAACCAACTAACATTCGCCACGTGTACATTAAGCGTGGGGCAGTTCCTCTGGCTACGCCGCGGCTCGGTATAAGCCGGCTTCAATTAACCTTATTATCTTTTATTTTAAATTTATTATTCCCCTTTGTTTTTTTAATCTAAGTCAAACTTAATTTGACTTGTAATAAAATATTTAATATTAAACAAATAATTAAATTATTATCGACAACCAATTTTTTTCCTTCTCGTTTTGGATAAGCTTTAGGTCAATAAATTTATAAATTAAATAATAAATAATTCACTCCAGTTTTAATTTTATATTTAATAAATATTTTAATTTTATATTATTATTTAAAATTTATCTTATAAATAAAATTATTATCCCCATTCTTGTCTTATTACAAAAATGTTCGACAACAATTAAAAAGATCCCAAATAAAATAATATTTGAATATTTATAAACAAATAAAGAAATAAAACAAGGCGTAGTAAAGTAGAGCGAGGCTAGCTCGTAGATACGGCGAGCGGCTCGGCGGCGGTGGGCTCCACGCTGCTCTTTAGTTGAAGTAATTAATTATTATTTATTACAAATTTATTTAAATTTTGAAATGGGATAAAATAATTGGCTATCTCCCTTTCTCGAGATTCCTTCCACTGCGTCGATCTAACGCAATTCCTTTTTTCTTTTCCTTTTTAAATATGATAAATAAATAAAAAGCACATCCTTCCCTTTGCTCACATTTTTCTAATTGTTGTGTCACATGATTAAGCATCTCATTTTCTATAATATAAATATATATATTATATAGTTTTATTTTTTAGCCCATCTAATAAATTGATAATGATTATTTAAGTTATGTTTCATAATTATTTTTTACATATGATTTATTGGAACCCGTGTATTTTCTCGTAATAAATTTCATATTTACTAAAAATATTTGAATCCGTGTTGTTTGTCATGTCGCTCATATTCATCGTTACTCGATGTTCAATTCATCTTCAAATTGTTTGCCTTATTTATTACATTTTGTTATTCATTTTCGACACTACTCGTCATTCATCTTTGTTGTCAGTCATTTGTCTCGTAGATCGTTTCTTATTTTTAGGGTTTTCAATCGGCAGTCCAGTACTCAACATTAATACAGTGCTAATGCACGTTTTATTCATCTACCTGATAAACTCAACTCAACTTAACTCTAATAAAATCACGATTCAGTTGGGTTGGGATGCCAACCTCGTCGTATTGGTTTGATTGGAGAATCGATCGGTCTAAAATTTCGAATTGGTCCACGAAATTTGCATAACTTAACCAAGCCGACCTACATGTTGGTAATAGTTAAATGACCGAGGGTTGACTTTTACTAGGTTCCATTATTTTTTAGTTATATGTTCAATAAAATTAGTGCATGTGGGGGTGATTAATTAAATGGCACGATTGTAATTTATCACATACATGTGTGCTTTATATAAAAAATACAAATGTCTAGTATTTAGTATATAGTTTGATTAACCTTAAATACTCTTAAGCATTTCCACTTGCACCATATTAATTCTTAATAATAACGTCACTAAATAGCAAATTTTGATTTAAATTGTCGTATTTATACGCATCATCGTATTAAAAAGTGTTGAAATAAAAATACAAAATAAATCTACGATCGTCGAGCAGAATAGATCTCATATACTTCAAAAATTCATTTTTTCTTATAGGAAAAATATATTTTTTTTTTTTTCTTTTATGGAATGAAAATGTGAAGAAAAAAAAATTAATTACAAATAATAACTTGAAAATAAACATTTAATTAATATACTTCTTCGATTAAATTGAAAGCTTAAAATAAAAATAAATTAAGATTTAACTGCAAATTTCCCAACAATTTCTGTGAGACAATATTCCATGCACAACAACTAAACCAAATCTTACCAAAAAAATTGAAAAACGAAACGAAACGACAGATCGAAATCGAACACACTTCATCTTCATCTTCATCTTCGGATCGAACAAAACGACGCGTCGAATCCGCTAGCTCGTCGGATTTGGAGCTTCATTCGATGCCGCTGGAGCAGGAGGCCTTGCCGCCGGCGGATCAGCGTAGCGGCTCTGCTGCGGCGGCCGAGACAGGAAACTCGATTGTGGATCGACAGATTCAACCGCCAAGGGCGGTCCGGTCGGCGGAGGCGGTTCGGAAAGGTAATCGGCGGTCATGAAAACGCCCTGCGAAGGCCTCCTCTGGTGCCTGCCCGATCGCTGCGACATTTTCCGGGAGAGATTTGAGAATTGAAAGCGTGGATTTGGGAAAAGAAAGAGAGAAGAACAGAGAAATAGTGAGAGTCGCGGGCGTAACCGTAGAGTTGACCGGTCTTTATATACATTTAATTATTAACTTAAATTACATATTTCCTCTTTCAATAATTTTTTACATTATGGTTCCATTTTTAATATACGCGGTTCTTAAACAAAATAAAATAATAATTTAAACTCAATTATTATAATTTTTATTATTATTGTATAACGAATTCAAATCTCTTATAATTTTAGATGGTTTTGTTCTTAAATAATATGTCGGTATAATACGAGAATATTCCATATTTATAAATATATTGTTGTATTTCTAAATTATGTAGATTTAAAAGTTTAAAATTTTAATTTCATATTGAAACTATATTAAATTACATAAACGATGAGGGGAAAGTTCAAAACTGCCCCTATGATTCATGCACCAAATAGTGTTATTGTAGCAATGCAATTTAATGAACGGAACGAACACACATGTTTGTTTGGATAAGGTTTTGAATCCCACGCATTATTAAAGATACCCGTAATTTATTAATTCCGTTGGGTTAGAGTTAGGTTACCTTTTTAGATAACTTTTTTTTTATTATTTACGGCGGCAAATTTATTCACCCACACAATTATAACTAGACCATGTTTATTTCGAATCATTATTTTATTTTATTTTATTTTAATTCAAGTATATAATGGGGAAATAATAATAGGAAGAGATTTAAGATATAGATTTTTATTTTTTAATTTTTAAAATGGTCTAATAAATCTGAACCTTAACGAATAATTAAGTTTTTTTTTTTAATATAAAAAGAAATTAAATCTTCCTCTATTTAAAAAATTCAGACGTTTATTAAAAAAATTTAAAAATTTTGAGACTAATAATATATAAAATTAAAATTTAATTTTATGGGATAGTCGGGTTAATAATCCTTTAGCCTTGGTCCAATAGAATCCGGAGTCCAGGTGGGCTCGGTCCAATAAGGTCGGCCTATTTACAAAAAGCTTGCCACGTAAGCATACTAGCTGGCGCAGTAGTAACACGTGGTAGTTTCTTATTGGATTAAAAAAGTAGACCCGATGGGCTTTTCCAACTGTCATATCGTTTCTCTCTGGGGATCGTGAAACGCGACGAACTTTACTATTTTTTGTTGTTTCTTTTAAAAATAAATGAATATTTGTTTTATTTATTTATTTATTCATTTTTTTCTCTTACGGGAGCTTTGTTTTTATTTCTATCTCTATCTCTTACAAAGCTAAATCTTGACCGCGAACCAAAAGCCTTCTCATTTTAGTTTTTTTTTGCCGCTCTGCTTCTTCCCTCTCGTTTTTTTCTTATTCTTTCAGGTTTTCGCGGACAAAACCCTAGCCCTAACCAATCCGCTTTTTGTTTATTTCGATTCTGATTCGACTGTTACGAGACCTGAAATCTGTTGCGGACAATAGGCAGATCTCAGATCGTAGTTGTTGGAAATTCAATCGGTGGCTCTGGTGTTACTGGATTGGATTTTATTGGTTTTTTGTTTTGATTCCGAGTTTTTCTGATCGGATTCTTGCTATACAGGTTTCAAGAATGGCGTCGAGGTTAGATTTCTTGAATTTTACGTGTGAACTCTCCGTTTTTGTTTTTATGATAACCGTTGGCGGTTAATTTTAGGAATTAATGGAGTTTTCTTTTTTAATGATATCCTCTTCGTTTGGTATAGTTCAGGTTTTCTTGAAGTTTAGCATTCAAAATCTCAGGCTCTTAGGAATTTTAGTCTACGTGAATCTGGATTTTCATTTCCACTCTGTGTGGGCTTTTTGGATGCTGCCGATTCGGTTTGCGGTATTTTTAACTACTGGCTCTACCGACTTGGAAGAATATATATTGGATGGGAGAAGAAGCAGCTGGTTTGGCTGCAGTTGCAAATAAGCCGCTGGAGAAAGAGAGCGCTTCGAGTACCGAATTGAAGCGTGACCATCAGTATCTAGATGAAGATACGGAACCTGAGTCGTTTCACAATAAGAAGCAGGCAAAAGAAGTGTCGAATGAAGACGTTCGTTCAGAAGTTTCTAATCCTGTAATTTCCCCGAAAGGGAATCATTTCCAAGATATTACAAGTCAGCCAGACGAGCAAGAAAATACCAACCAAGTTGAACGTGGGGACCTTACGTCGGCTTGTTCGGGAAATTCAAGCTCAGAGGATACTTCAAGCGATGGAATTCGTTGCCAGAACAACACGTCTCGGAATGATGTTGATGTGTGTGATGATGATGAAGTCTCCCGGGTTGTGATTGAAATTCCTAAGCATGCTAGTTCAACCGGAATTAAGAAAATTACGTTCAAATTCAGCAAAAAAAAGGACAACAATGACGCATCCAGGTCAGCTGACAAAATTCATTCTTATGGAAACTCTGACAAGGACTGTAAACCAGAACCATCCTCGGTTGACGATGCTTATACGGAGACATCTGCACATAGCTGGGAAGGCTGTGCTGAGAGCAGCAGGTTTCCCCCAGGCCCCAGTAAAATGGAACTGAAAATGTCGAAGAAGGTTTTGCCAAACAATTACCCGTCAAATGTGAAAAAGCTGCTGTCGACTGGTATACTTGACGGAGCTCGCGTCAAGTATATATCTACGACAAGTGAGGTATTTGTTATTTTTCCGACTACGTGGTTAGTGCCCTAATGCTATTTTCTTCACGTCCGTATTTTTTATTTAATTTTATTTTCATTTTGCTGTCAGATAAAGCTAGATGGTATCATAAACGGCGGAGGTTATATGTGCGGATGTTCAATATGCAATTTTACAACTGTAAGTATGAAGCAATTTTTTTACATGATTTCCGGACTTCCTTATTGTGACGATATAATTAATATGGAATTTTTGAATAGATTCTCAGTGCTTATGAGTTTGAGCAGCATGCTGGTTTCAAAACTAGACATCCAAATAATCATATATACTTGGAGAATGGGAGGCCGATTTATAGTGTTATACAGGAAATTAAGAGTGCACCTCTTAGCATTTTAGATGAAGTGATTAAGGAAGTAGCCGGTTCATCTGTTAACATGGATTCATTTGAGGCTTGGCAAGGTATTGATGTTTCTGATTTTTATTATGAAATCTTACTCTCGTTTCTGGAAGTTAATTGAGGTGCTTATCTTTTGTTTATTTTTTTGGATGATAAAAGCTAAGAAAATAGATAAATTGTTTACATGCCTCTTAGCTAAATGTGCTAGTTTGCTTCATTCGAGCCTGAATATTCAGGATTAGAGCTGCCTTTATCTGATCCTTTGGCATTAACAATTAAGTACGAGACTAAGTTCTGAATAAGTAATTAGTTTGCTTCCTCTGGAAATGAAGGAATGGCTCTCTTTGTTATTGACACTTTACTGTTCTGCAGCAAGTTTCCACAAGGACAGTACAGGTATTGAAGTGGAAAATGATAATGTGAAGCTTCCGAAATTGTCACATCCCATTGAGAGGTATAAGCTAATAACTTTGTGAATGTTTGATTAATCCACCACACCTAAATGGTGTGAAAGTTATCTTATTTATAATCAAATGAATTACAAGGATATGAAAATAGTAATAAATAGAAATAACAATAAATGGAAAGATATCTATGATAATAAGGCAAATATTAGATATTTGCCTTATAATAAAATATCAAATATAATATATATGGTAAACTATAATTTATTACTAAATATCCTTAACACCCCACCGCAAGCTAAGCGTCGGATTTAAACGAACGTGAAGCTTGAATCTGAAAAATTCAAAGAGTTTGAGAAGCACTTTTCATGAAGATGCTAACAACCCGGTTCTTGGCCATCAAAAATTGCAGAGGGATCGCCGCTCAGCGGCGATGCTGCCTTGGCTTCGGCGAGAATATGTCTAACCCATGAAGAGGGATTGTCGCTTAGCGACGATGCTGCCTTGGCTCTGGTGAGAATATTTCTAACCCCAAGAAGTAGAAGGGGAAACCTAGAGCAAGGGACAAAGACAATGTTGAAGCCGGAAGAGTCGCCACATTGGGCGAATGAGCCAATTTTGGCGAGAAGGGCAGTCGGAAGAGTCGCCTCATCGGGCGAATAAGCCAATTTTGGCAGGAAGGGCGGCGGCAACTTGGTTGGCGAATAGGCCAGTGCGGCACCCAGATTCCGAAGGTAAATCTCTGCAAAAGGTTGATAGGTTTAGGTTAGGGTTTATGTGAAGGATGAAGGTTGATTGGGAAGAAAATGAGAGAGACTATATTGGCCAAGGGGAAAACCGATTGGGTTGGAAAAGGTGAGGTTGTATGTACAGAGTATGACGAAAGGTGATTTGGAGGTCAATAGGGTGGAGCCGAAGAGTAATCAATCGGCTCCGCCTGCGGCAGCCATGAAGACTGCCCCTGAGGCGTCAAAGCCAGCAGGGGTGGTGGAGAAGAAGATTAGAGGATTCAAAAGCCATTGAAAAGAAAAGATCGGGGTTGTTAAACCGAGAGGGCTCTGATACATGTGAATGTTTGATTAATCCACCACACCTAAATGGTGTGAAAGTTATCTTATTTATAATCAAATGAA